CACACACACACACACACACACACACACACACACACACACACGCAGAACCCAATCCTGAGAGCTGCTTGGGAAAAGAGAGTCAAGCCGGAGAGAGGGGCCCACCCTACCAGCACCGCTTCCGAGGCTGGGAAACCATGTGGATGCTGAGATGGGGACAGTGGCCGATTTTGCACGAACAATCCGCCACCCGGGTTCTCGCTTCTGCCGTCCTTACATATAGCAGCACGCCCCACGACCTCTGTACACAATTTGTTCAATCTGGGGTTCCCCTATGAGCACCCCAAGAGAATGTTGAGAAATGCAGCACCGGGAATCTGAGGTCCCGGTGAAAGGGGCGGAGCAGTCCTCGAAGAGTTCGGCCAGAGCTGAAGAAGCCACAAGGAAACGTGGGACACGACCTCTATTTAATGAAGGTCACTTATGTGCGAGCTGAAGGTTTAACCATTTGGTGGTGTGGGGAGGGCTGGGAGCCCTAGATTGAAGGAAGCAGCTATTGAGCTTCATCATTTGAACTGAACTTGAGGGGAGGAAGCTCTACCCACCTTGTGGCTTTTATGGGGGGCTGGAGCCCCTCTCCTTTTAGGTGCCACCGTCAGAGAAGCCTGGAGTGTGAGTGTGAGCCACCTATACACTTGGCTGTGGTGTCCCAGTGCCTGTACATTTCTGCTTAGACTCGTACTCTTCAGCCCTCTAGCTACCACTTCCTGGGCACCATACTCTCTGCTGAGGATACCTGGATGAGTCACTCCTCTCTGTCACATCCCATACCTCTGGGCACGAATGTACATAGATCACTGGTCATTCACAAGCCACATTCATGCTCTCTCTCTCTCTCGCTCTCTCTCTCTCTCTCTCTCTCTCTCTCTCTCTCTGTGTGTGTGTGTGTGTGTGTGTGTAAAAGATCTTGCTTACTACAGATATAACTGTTGGACAGTAGTAATAAGGAAGTGGATAGGGGGATTGGTTTCCTATGCTCTTGGGGAAAAATGCTATTAGGAAGGGCTGAGACACTGTGGGATACTGAAGCCCTCTGAGGAAGCAATAGGAGGTGTGGCCGGCCTCTGTCTAGTTTCTAGAGTTAGGTGGGGTCCCTGAAATAAGACCTGCCTGAAGAAAGGCTCTTGTATCCCCCACCTTCCTCCTATTTTCATTCTCCTCACGCTCAGTTGCCCCTCCCCCTCCCCCAGCGCTGGGAGATGGTATTTTTAGAAGCTGCTTAGAGACCCAGGACTCCTTTCATTTCAAAATGAGTACTCACTCCACCAGGCCTCCCCCTCCCCCCCTTCAAAGCCAGGTCCTATCCCCTTGGCAGTCAGTAAGGCATCAGGCATGGCTTCTTACCACAGCTCTAGAGACTTCAGCCCAAAGCTTTTGACCCTGGGTACAAAAACGAAACGATGGCCCCCTTTGAACGACACATGAACCTTTCGGGAGCCGAACAGATGGATGAGGTTAACTGGGTAAAGCTACATAGAATGCCCACAAAGCACCGTGGCTGTTGGGAGACTCCGCTGCATGCACGTGGGGGAGTTGTGAGACAGAAACCTTAGGAATGGGAAGCAAGGGGAGTGAATTATTTCTTCTCATTCTTCCTGTGGGTAATTCATTTATATATAATACAATCAGAGCAAAGAAGCCCTTGTGTTTGCAGACATATGCAAATCAGCCAGATCTTAATAGGAGTTGTTCCAAGGTGGACTCTGCTCTTCCAGGAGGCTGCAGAGCAGGTAACCTCTGACGAAGAGATCCTGCAGATCTTCTTGCTGCTCTGCACCCCATGTACTTCCGGAGAGCAGGGCTTGGTCCGGAGTTTCCTTGTGCAGTGTTAGTATTTGCCATGGAAGAGATGATCTTCTCTGTCCAGTGAGGTACTCCCTGCATCTGTGAAACCAGAATCTCCACATTTAGAAGCCCTTTCAGTAATGTGGAGATGGGAGTTATGATAAACTTGGACAGCACCCTGAAAGACCACTGGGCTTACTTTCGGGGTTAAATCGGTCTCACAGTCCA